AGGAGCACTCCCAAGCTGCGAACCCTGTCCCTCAGAGGGAGTGCAACCCCATTTAGGACAAGGCCCAGGTCCCCCATCCCGAGGCCCGAGCCACCCACCAACAGGACCTCTGTCTTCTCTGGATTGAGCTTCAGTTTATTGGCCCTCATCCAGCCCATTACCTTGGCCAGGCACCAGTTCAGCACAGCCACTGCCTCACCTGGATTGGTGGAAAATGAGAGGTAGAGCTGGGTATCATCAGCGTACTGATTCAGCAGCCCACACCTCCTGATGACCTCTCCCAGCAGTTTCATGTAGATGTTAAATAGCAAAGGGGACAAAATGGACCCCTGCGGGACTCCATGGCATAACTGCCATGGTGCAGAGCCATAGTCCCCCAGCACCACCTTCTGAAATCGGCTGTTGAGATAGGAGCGGAACCACCGCCATGCGGTGCCTCCAACTCCCAATCCCACTAGCCTATTCAGAAGGATACCATGGTTGATGGTATCGAAAGCTGCTGAGAGGTCCAGGAGAACTAACAGGGACGCACTCCCCCTGTCTCTCTCCCTGCACAGGTCATTGTACAGGGCGACCAAGGCAGATTCAGTGCCATACCTGGGTCTGAAGCCGGACTGAAATGGGTCCAGATAATCAGTTTCATCCAAGAGTACTTGGAGCTGTCCCGCCACCACCCGCTCTAGCACCTTGCCCAGGAACGGGATGTTTTAAAATTATCCTGTTCTTAATATTTTAATTTTGTATCTGTTTTGTCTTTTTAATGATCACTGCTCCAAAATCTGCCTAGATATTTATTTATTTAAACCTTTTCTATGCCGCCCCATTCACAACAAGCCTCGGGGTGGCTTACAACATTAATAAATAAACATAAATAAACAGTTACATAATTAGACTTTAAAAAACGGAAATATCTTGGCACATACATAAAAACCCAATAAATACAGTTCATAAATTAACAATTAAAATAACTTTTAAATAAAAAGGTCTTGGCCTGGTGCCGAAAAACAAACAACAACACCGCCAGGTGGACCTCTCTGGGGAGCGCATTCCATAGGCCTTCCAGAGAAGGCCGTCCTCCGGGTACTCACTCTCCTAATATCTTGGAGCGGTACACAAACTGTGGAAATAAAGAAACTAAATAAGACCGCTAAAATGCAGAGTTAAAACATGTAAAATGGTAGGAGTAATGCCTATTAATTCAGAATGCATAAACTAGAACTGAATGGCAAAATAAAATGAATCCACGACTGAGAGCATAGTCATACGGATAGCCCTGGAAGGCAGACATGTGGCACAACAGCATGCTAGCCTCAAGTGCCACCTTCGTTTCCAAGATGGGCTCTGGGGCCTTCCAGTGGGTGGAACTCCTCACTTCATCTTGAAGGTGTCCAGCTGTCCACACAAAGGTAAAACAGGCTTGAAAGTAAAATGGGAACATCCTGGATTGCTAAGGGGAATAGCAGCATCTAAGGCGGAAGGACATCAAAGGGGACGGCAGAGAGCAAGGGAGGATTTTGCCAGTACTGTACTTTGCCTGTGGTTTGGCTGTTGATTTTGCCTGTGTTTATTTTTTTTAAAGGGGCAGAGGTATGAATCTGAATGGTGCTTTTTTAGCATTACCAGTTCTGTGAAATGGGTATTTTGCCAATATGATTTGATTTGTACCTTTGCCTTCTACTCAGTTCTTGGTCATGTTACTGGTCTTTGAACTTCATCAATTTTTTGTCTGCAAAATGGGTGTTAGAGCAAAACAACCTGGATTGGAAAGAGAGGTTTGGCATCTTGGAGCTCAGGCTACATCTCTGCCTTCCACATTGGTTCTTGGGTGCTTTTCTTTTCTTTTAGCTTCACCAGGTTACCAGCTGGCCATTGGATAATGGACATTTTTACCCCCACCATTGCAGCAGCTTTGTGATAATACCTACAGTATCTCTCCAGATTCCAAATATGTCCACCAGCCCCAGAAGTTTGGGGCTCCCTATTTTAATTGATTAAAAAGATAGTGTTTGTGTGAAAAATTACACAGTTTCCACAATATTCTAGGATTTAATAAGTGTGTGTATATATATTGTCATAAACTAGTGTCTTTGGCCAATAGACAGCCATCTAAAAATGTATACCATATATATTGGTGTGTCATACAAGGTGAGGTCAATATTTTGGTCAGTTTTGTGGTGTTTGTCATATGTCTGGCACATGAGATGACCCCTAACTCTTTAGCAATAACTCTTGCACACTCAATGTCAACTGGCTTCAGTAGGTATTTGTCACCTGGAAGCTTCTAAACACTTGTGACATTACGTAATTCTAGCTAATAACACATTGCCTTTAATTTGAGCTCACATTTGTCATCTTATACACCTTGGCCTGTATCTGTGTGAGATATGTCTAAGAAAAGTTTTCTAAAGTGATGCGATAGCTTTCTTTTTGACCCTAAACCATGGATTGCCAGAAAAGATAAAATATAATGCTTATTTTAAGCTAAAGGTTATTCAAATTGTGAAAGAGTCTAATAATTGTAATGTAGCTGGAAGGTTTGATGCCAATGGAAATGAACAGCATAGTTTTCTGGAGTCAGACTAAGATCTTATGATGATATCCTACAAAAAAGCTGCAAATGTAATTGAAGATCTCAGTTCAAATAACTAAACATATTGTCCAGTACAGTTGGTCACTTTGGTGCCAGTACATAGCAGAAAGAAGGTTTTTTATTACTGTTAATAAACAAGCTAGTAATATAATTGTCTTTATCCTGATCTTTCTTTAATGATGAATATATTTTTTTTCACCTAGTGTATAAGATCCCCAATTTTTGCTTTGCTATTTTGGGTTTCAGGGATTGCCTTATATGCCAATATATGCAATGCTTACTCTGGTGCAGCAGTGGTGATTGCCTTCTTTGAGGCATGTTTTGGTTTGGCCAGGATGCAATTTGTGAGCATTAAAAGGTAGTTTGACTAACACTTGCCGAGGACACGACTGAAACACTACCCTGCCTACCCCTGCAAAAATTAGATGCCCCCACATTCACATCCTCCTTGCTTTGGTCAGTAAGTATATGTGGAAAAAGTATCATGTCTAATGAAAGACATGTCTGAAGGCTATTTTAACCTGTGGGTTATTGTTTTGGTTCATCAGCTCCCCATTGGTCCTCCAATAAGATTACTTGCTAATCACACAGATATATCCTCTCAGAGTGGCACTGTACATGCAACTCCCAATTGATAACACTGAGGATTTTCCACTTGGGCCCTGGGTTTGTATCTAGTCATTTCATGCTGCTAGTGCAAAGCATCAAATCCAGGATTTTGCATGAGTATAAAAGGAGGACTTTTGCACTAATGGGATAATATAAAGTGGCTATAACACTCTAGGCAGTATGCTTGAAAAGAAGGCTTACATTCAAACAGCTGGCTCTGTCTGCAGGTCTCTACAGCACTGTTCTGTACATGGTTTTGCTGGATGCAAGTACCACTTCAAGAGGACTTACCCGCAAATATTGCAGTCTCTTCTCCATCTATCTAGCCCCAGGTGTGTGTACTTCCTTTTGATTTTGAGCTTCCTATCCTTGCCTTAGACAAATTTCTGGTGTAGATGAGCTATGTTTCCCAAACTACCCACATCTCTCACCTCTACTCCCTTGTAGGACCCGGAGGAAGATGGCCGTGGCAAATTAGAAATGATAATCCTCATAAAGCCAGACTACTCCATCATAATTGCTTTGTCATTGACAGTCTCTGGTCAACTAAGCTTCAAAATGTGTTCTATTCCCTGAATAGATGGAAGGTGAAACAAAATATCCGCTCTTCTCATGGCAGTATCTGATTTTGCTAATGTGATCTGCTCCCTGTAATTAACAGAATGGGTACAGATTAATAAAAAAGGTGAAGTGTTGTCAGGACTGCCTTTTTGGAGGTGTTAACACTCATGAGAAAAGGAGGTAAACTGAGATGGATTTAAGGGTGGAATCAGTAGAAGCTATTATTGTGCCTGACACTTGCACAGGAAAAACAAATAGCGAATTATATGCAGACACACAACTTCAATCATTTGAAAGCATCTTCCTCTTTCCCTCCTTTTTCTTCATGCACACCATTTTTTTTAACATGGTAAAAGACTTTCAACTACCCCAGACTGGGGAACAAGCATGAACAGCATGAAGAATGTGGCACTACACTATCTTTGTTCATGGTGTCTGCCAGCAAAGTTCATTTTGAAAAATGTCTTCCTTGACACTAAATTCAGAATGTATGGCAATACAGTGCATGATGTCTTGGTTTGCTTGGTCCCAGAAAAAAAGAGTTGCAGTCAGGCAGGGTCAGCGTTTAATGTCAAGAATAGAGAAAGGGGTTGGGACTCATCCAGTATGTATGAAAACTGCCACGGATCCCCCAAGCTGTGGTGGCAACTCTCCCTAGCTTTTCAGTGGGGAGAAGGAAAGGGGGTCGTACTCTCTGGACATTGTGATGGGGAACATGTGGCATTCCAGATGTTGTGCGACTGCATCTATCATCTCTCACTATTGGATATGCTGGCTAGCCAGGGCTGATGGGCCTTGCAGTTCTACAACCTCCAGAAGGCCTCGCGTACTCCTTCGGCGGCTGGGCAGGATATGAGCTGCGGTGCGAGCGTGCGGTTTGTTCACTCCAGTGGTTAAAGGGCTCCAAGGCAGGGAACAAAATAAACTCCCACTGAACTTCGTGTAGGAATAACTATCAAGAAAGGGCGCCATATCAATCAGCTGGGGAGCACTGTGTGTAACCGGAGAGAGTTCCCACCGTCACGCGTTGATTGGCCACGTGCAGCTCCGGACGGCGGGCCAGCGCAGGCGAGGCGCGCTGCGTGTGCGAGCTGACCGCCCCGCTGGCGACTTTTCCTCCAAACTGTTTCCAAGCCCGTCACATCCGCCGCTTGGCGGGGCTTGGGAAGTTACTTGGCAATTGTTTGCAAAAGAGGGAGGCGCGCGGCGGCGGCGGCGGCCAGGGGAAGAGTGTCTCTGGCGCTTGGGCGAGCGCAGCGCCGAGGAGAAACTTTCCTCCGCGGGCGGCATGCGAGGGCGAGCCGGTCCCGAGGAGGCGAGATGAAGCCGAGCCGTGCAGCGGCCGTCCCCCGCGGGTGCGCCAGGAAGACGCGTGTGGGCAGGCGGCGGCTCCCTTCGCCTTAAGTCGCCAGCGCTTTCGGGCGCCGAGATGGGTCAGTCCCAGGCGGCGCGCTGCCTGCTGCTCCTCGTGGCCCTCGCCGCCGTCGGGGGCGGCCACGCTCACTTCGCCTTCCCCCTGCAAGTGTCCCCGCCGGTGCCCCCCAACGGTTCCCTGGTTCCCATGCCCGTGCTGCTGAAGCGGCCAGGCGGCGGCCCAAAGCCTCAGCAAGGAGCCGCGGGCTTGGCCTTAGCTTCGGACTCGGGCGGCTCGGTCAACTTCATGGCCATGGTGGACAACCTGCAGGGAGACTCGGGCCGCGGCTACTACCTCGAGCTGCTCATCGGCACGCCAGCGCAGAAGGTAGGGGCTGCGCGGGGCGGGGGGCGAGGCTCACCGGGCTGCGGGCGCGCGCAGTCGGGCTCTCTGGACGTGGACGGGAGGGGGCTTCGGAACTGCAGTCGGGGAACTGATCGCCTCATCTGGGCGCGGATTTCCCCCCATTCTTTCAAACCGCGTTTCTTGCCACGCGTGATTTCCAAGCTCTCCTCCTCAGGAGCGGCTCAGATGACTGGATCTGCTGGGGGAGAGCTTGAGGCAACCTTCCCAGACCAGGTGCTGCTCCCCCCCCCCCCGTGCATTGGACTGCGACGCCTGCATTCTTCGGTTGGTCCAGTTTTATGTATGTATTATGCTTTCGTGCTGCCCAGTAGCCGAAGTTCTCTGCATGGGTCACACAAAAACGATAATATATTGCATGTTGTCCCCTTTCAAAATTTAAAACAAAATAAAACTGGGGTAAAAACGACTGGCAGGCAAAGATCCGAAAACACAACAAACATTAGAAAGCAAAACTGAAAAACTTAGAAGCCTGAATGTCTTGCACTTTTTAGGTTGGGGAGAGTGGGTTTAATGGCCAGGTGGGTGGCATAAGGTGCTTAATTTAGAACAGTGATAATGAAGCTTTCACTCTGAGGGCCTAAAATAGATTCCAATAAGCTCTCCCACCTGCATTCCAGCAGGGCAATGAAGACAAAAGGGACAGGTCCAAAAATACTTGTGTATTTTAGTTTAAAGCTCTTAACAGCAAGTAAGTAAACCTTAGGGATGCAGTCTTCTGGCCTGGAGATAAACTGCAATACCTTCAGACCCCAAGACTGATAGGGAGGATGCAGAGGAGGAGGTGTGGCTGTTTGGAGACCTCTAGACCAGCCAAATTTGGCATCCTCGCTCTGCGAGAGTGTAAGGCCAAGCCCTGTTGGATCAGACCAAAACTGTGTCAAATCTGGGGTCCGGCTTCTCACCATGGCCAGCCCAGATGCTTGCAGGAAGCCCAGGACGGAGCATGAAGGCAGTTGCCCTTGGGGCTGTTGCCCCACCTAGCAACTAGTGCTTAGACAGAGGCTGCTTCTCATTCTGTTTAGCGATCCTGGTCAATAACCATGCATTTTGTCTTTGTCTAAATTTGTGAGCATCTCACAGCAATGAATCCATAATTCGGATAAGTGTTGTGTGGGCATTCTTATTGTTTCTTGACCCTATTCTTATTCAGATTTATCAGCTGATCTCATTTGAAGAGAAAATTTTCTTTCTATTTTCTAATTGAACAAGCCCCTAAACTTTTCCTAATATGAAAGGGGCTTCCATAATTTGACCATAATTTCTTTTTCTGCACATTTTCCAGCACTCTGATACCGAATTTGAGACTGGCTGATCATAACCGCACATAGTATTCCATATGCAACAACATGATATATTTATATAAAAATATTGCAATATTGGACCTCAATTTGTTTTCTTAGTCTGCAGAGTGCCCTATTTGCCTATGTACCTATGCATACTTAAGCTATGCCTTTGAAGTACTACAGAATTCCTTGCACTGTGCGATTTTGCAAAGAACTGTTAATTTTAGCTTTGGAAAAATACCTCTGAAGTTCAAACTTTTCATGGCTAGCATAAAATCAAAGTGAAAGCTGTCTCTAGATCCTATCAATCGGATATCTTTTATACTAAGGACACAATCCTATGCAAATTTAGTCTGATCAAGTCATACAGAAATGCAGAGAGTTACAGGAATTTGTTCTATTTCAACCTTAAATGTGTCACTTGTAGTGATAGTGTGAGTTTTTAAAATGTTTTTAATTAATACTAAGTGGGGACATTATCAGGATGGAGAAATTTAACTTTTCTTTCCCCTCAAAAAATAGGGCTCCAATTCTCCATGCTCTAAATATCAGTAGAAACAAAAGCTGGTGTATGCATGAAGGAACCCAAATGCATGCCTCTTTCAAACATGGCATGTGCCCCTGCTATTTGTTGCCTGTTTGAGGGTCTGCTACTATGCTTTTGAGTTCGAACAGCACTGCCCCAAATATTCAGAATAGTCCTAGCCCTAGTCATGCGTATGTACTAGTGCAAATCTAAGACCTGAGATTATTAATTCAGACTTGGCTGCCACATAACCTTTGAGGAGTAGTGCTGTTCTGTTAACAGGGTCACCATGTGGATTACTGTTCTGTCTGTCAAGTTGCATTTGAGTGCAGAGTGCCTGCTTTTACCGGTTGATAGGAACTCTTTCTGGACATTTCTGCAAAGGCTACTTCTACGAGTAGGATTCTTCAAGTGTGAGGAAGGCCTGCTCTGTGGAGGAATAGGCATCACCGACAGCTCATCCTTGTCCCTGGCGTTCTTTCTCTCTTTCCTCAACCCCCATGGCAAATGCCATGCCTCTCTTGATCTTGACCAGGAGTCCTCAAATTTTTTCAGCAGGGGGCCAGTTGCAAGGTGCCCATGCTAGCTGTGGGCCGGAAACGTGGTGCTGGCGGTGCACGCGGGCCGGTGAGGGGGTGGGGGTGGTGCGTGTGGGCACGTGCCCTGAAGTGGGGACGGGGGGCATGGCAAGGCACAGGCAGGTGCACGAGGCAGCGGCTTGCTTGCTTGGAGATCATTTTCTCCAAGCAAGCAAACCACTACCTCCCTGCACGTGGGGCAAGGTGGGCAGGGGTGGGCACACGTGTGGGCACAGCGGGTCCAAATGGGCATGGCAGGCCGGATCCGGCCCCCGGGCCTTAGTTTGAGGACCCATGAGCTTGTCTGTGCAGGCAGAATACAGACAACCTCTATCCACACTGCAAGGTATGGTTATCCGAATTCTACTTCACTAAGTGTAGATCTTTGCTGATACATGAAATCAGTGGAGAGAAATCCTTGGTTTAGATTGTAGTTGTCAAGGTTATTGAGTTTTGAGCTACATTCAAGTGCAACTGTGACTGACTGAAATTTGAATGAGTTGCAAGGCTCAGACTTACACACTCTCTACTCCTCTTGTGCAGTGGTTGGTTTAGAAGCTTTTGCTTCCACTGAAATTAGCTATGTTATGTGTTATCTAGGCTGACAAACTGTGATTGATATGAACTATGGTTAGTTTACAACATTTTTTTCCTTTGTATGATTTCTATCCCCTGATCGTGAACCACCTTTCTCATCAGAAACAGTATTGTCCCAAATCATCAACTGATCTATAGGAACAATGCACTATTTGTAGTCAGTCCACATTTTTCCTGATGAGAAGCAGAAATAGTTGCTTTCACTGTGTCAATTTTTTCTCCTGCTTTTTCTGTACTGTTTCTCATTTGCCACTCTTGCCTTTTCCAAATCTATATTTTGCTTGCCTTGAAAATTCTCTTCTAGAGTAAGCCTGCATTTGCTGATGGATCTGGCATGTGCCACTATTATATCATTATTCCTTCTGCCACATTTTGCTCATCACCCTTTTCCAGTAGCTTCATTTTCAGTAAGTGGACTTTGATTTTCACTAACAATTTCACCTTTGTCTGAACACGGTGGCAACAGAGTGGTGCTTACTTTGAGAGATGCAAATAGATTCTTTTCCTCTTTCTTCCTTTTTGAGTCACTTTCTTTTCCAAAACCATTTCCCACAGGGGTTGTTTTAGCTTTTAGAAGTGTAGCCTTTTACTGTCATTTATTAGTTGGCAATTATTTTCTGTTAAGGTTTTATAAAGAATTAACTATTTTCTTCTACCACCTTTGGATGCATTGTTCTGTGTCAAACCTTGCAGATCTCTAAGCATTTCTTTTGTTCATTAGGAAGAGTCTGGGCTTTTTGTTGGCCCTGAACTCAGTGCATTCATGTATCTCGTTTTTCTTCTCGTGCCTGTACATGACATATGTGCATGTGCAGTAGTTACCATTTCCAAAACTTTACTTGGTTGCTGTACTGCACTTTTGCCTTTGGTTGATGGTGGCAAAGATATAAATACTATTTTTGAGGGGAAAAAGAAGTGTTTGGGATACAAAAGTAGCCTTTCTTCCTTGTCTGTTTTTTGTTGGTTCTTTTACAGCAGCCAGTCTTTAAAACTATATTTTGGTCTTTTATGTCATCTGCCTATTTATTGCCATGTTTTTTGGTGTTTCATAAAAAATGGCTGATGTACTTCTCCTCCTCCTCCTCCTGGGCGGATCCTTTTTTTGCTACTGTTTATTTGTTTGGTGGGCTGTAATCTGTGTTTACTCTTCATTTGTTTGTATCATTGTTGCAAGGAAAATCTTCTTTGCAACAAATGCAGAATGATAGAGCTGCTAATAAAACCACTTCAAAGCATGATTCCTAAAGTTGTTTTGTTTAAATGAATCAGAGCCAATATTAAACACAGTCTGAGGTCTGGATTGCATGTCAAATGTTGGTTCATTAAAAGATGGATGCTTCCAAGCTCTGCCCTGTGACTACATGGAGGGAAGTATACATGACCAAGGTTCATTGCACTTTACGCTAAACCAACCTGGGTCACTCCAGATGTTTGACCTCCCATCACTTTCAGCCAGGAGGGCCAATAGGCCTTGAATGTTGAAGTTGTAGGCCAAAACATCTAGTGGAACTAGATTTAGGAAAGAACTAAACCTGGTGAAAATGCCATTTTAACACAGAGTGTAAATACTATTTACTGCATTCTGTAGAATCATTTTCTGCCATGCAGTCCTTTTTTCCTTAAATCTTACAGCATATCTTTTGGCCTTGCTTTGCCCTTTACACTCATCTGCCTCACTCTATGCCTACCACAATGGGTTAAATCCATTTTTTGTACATTTTTTCTTAGAAGCTTAAAAATGCTTCTTAGTCTAGACTGGAGTCAGGACTTTAGGAGGTATATACTCTGCAAACCAGAGATATAATCACTTTATGTAAAATTTCTCCTCTTAAAAATAAGCCATTAAGACATGTTGATACAGTGTTTGAGTTGATGGTGCATCATGCTCGTCCCCACACACGAGACTTGGAACAAAAAGTTGCAGATGTCATCTGGTTCAGGACGGCAACCTGCCGTGCCCCTTTCCACACTCTGTTC